GCTCTTCCATGTGTGAAATTTCTCTTCATGAATAGCAACCAGAGCTTCAGGTCAGAAGCAGCAGTGGTTGGCAGTGGGTGGTATCAGGGTGGATGTGGATGGGCGCCTTCAAAGGAGACCATCTCCTTGTTTAATATAGTGAAGTGTCACCTTGGAGCCAAAGTGAATAAAGTAATTCCATCGCCTGGCTGCAGGCAGACAGTGGGGACGCCTTCAGAATGCAAAGAAAAGCTCCTGTGGGGAGAGCCCAGAAGTGCCAGCAGTGCTCTGACCTTGCTGTGGACTCCTTCCAGAAACATTTCTTCTTGGCATCCTGCCCCACCATCGAACCAACCCACTCTTCACTTTATTCTAGATGTAAGAGAGAGATGTCAAATAGGGAAAAAAAAAAAAAAAAGGTGGGGCTGAGAGGTGTTGTGTTCCACTGTCCTGTGTGTCTATATCTTTACAGCTAAATGAAAAGAGAAGCCAAAGGTGAGGTCAGAGAATGCCTGGGGTGTTCAGAGGCACAGGCAGACACCTCCACTCTATCATGTGGCGCTGTTCCCCTCAGCAGGCCTCACGGTGGAGGGCCTCATCTGAGAATGTCTGGGGAAACCCCAGAACATGCTGGTCTGATGACCTCATCCATCCTGGTCTCTGAGGGCTCAGGACAGAGGGACAGCTATGGTTGGGCATCTGTGGTCACCCAGAGAACACTCTTGAAAGGCCATAAATGCTAGGATATGAACAAGAAATATGTGAGCATCAGATAGAGCGAGAAGAGGAGGATGGGGAGAGCATGGAGACCCTTAGGTATGACCAAGCAGCATGAGAACAGGTGGGACTAGGTCTACCCTTGGCATGTTATCTTACTTCACCCACAGAGTTCCTTGGCAATAGTCACTGTCCCTTAGGGTCCTGCAGAGGCAGATCAGGGTAGGTGTCAGCACTCCCTAGGGACATTTGGACATACTCCCTAAGTCCCCAGGGAAGCTAGGGAAAGGGAAGCAAGCCTGTGGGGTAAGGATAAGAATCCCAAAAAGAGAACTGGGCATGGTGGCACATGCCTTTAATCCCAGCACTTGAGATAGAAGCAGGAGGATCTCTGTGAGAGCCAGGCCAGCTAGATCTACATAGTGAGTTCCAGACCAGGAACAAAACAAAACAAACAAAGAATCCAAGAAAAGGGCTGGAGAGATATTCAGCAGTTAAGAATATATACTGCTCTTGCAGAAGACCTGAGTTTGGTTCCTAGCACCCAAGTCAGGTGAATCACCACTGCTTGTAACTCCAGCACCAAAGGATCAAGACACCCTTTTCTAGTTTCAGCAGGCACCTGCACTCGTGCACAAACCCACATGCATACATAATTTAAAAATAAAAAGATCTTCAAAAAAGTGAATCCCAGAGAAAAACCCAAGGCTGTGAATTGGGGAGAGGGATAGGTGGTACTGAGGTCTATCTAAGAAGGTTTCCTTCTCCATCCCCTGCCCAGGGAAAGGAATGTGTTAGAAAGCCTGTTTTTCAGATCATCCCAGTTTACAGGCCTCTCCCAACTCTCACAGTAAAGCTGGAAAGGTGACCCCTTGGAGCTTGGTTTGATTCATGAGTGTGGCAGGCCTGGGATCTCTGTATGACAGGCTTAGGGAAGGATATTCCCAGGTGTCAAAGATTCTGTCCATGGAATACAGGGTCCCATCTCTGATGAGTCAGGCCAGCTCTGATTACCAGCTCTGATGATCACAGCTTGGGCCAGGCCCTCACATTTAGAAGAAAGATCCAGGCACTCCAATACCCCATTAACTTGGGAAGCAGAAAGAATCACAGGAGGGCCTCCCCCTCATGTTCCCCATATGAGGTTTCTACCTGTGCAGCTGGGCTCGGGACAAGAGGAGAGCTGGGATGTGGCTGATCACTAGTAAGACCAAGAGTTCATCAAGCTCCTCACAGGTCTCTGAATTCTGAGTGAACCTTCTGAGCAATGTCTCTTGGTGGACCCATGGTAGGGATGCTTGGATCCTTTCAGTGGCCTAAATGTAACAACAGCAAACATTCCCCCAAATGAATAAACAGGCCAGTTCAAGGGTTGTGGAGAGACTGAGAATCTATATGGTGGGTGGTGGGGAGCTCAGAGAGAGGCTGAGACCCTTTCTTGCCTCTTGCAACACCCAGCTGAAGAGAGAAGGTACCAGGCCCTCTGTCTCTGAGGGATAGTTCACTGAAGCTGTCAGACATATTGCCATGTGGTCTCCAGCCCAGACCTCCCCACCAGAGGCATTGCCAGGCCTGGAGCAGGACTGGAAGGTCATGGGTCAAGTACTGCTGCCTCCACCATCCCGACTCCTCTCTGAGCACCAGACCCGTCTGTGCCTTGCTCCATCATGTGGCCCTGGTGGGCCTGAAGATCCTACTGAGAGTTCAGATCTGACCACACCTCACCCTTAGCCATCTTTCTCACCTTTCCTCTCCATTATTCCTTCCAGGTGGAATCCTGGCCAGTCCCCAGGGCTGAAAGGCTTAGCAGAGGCTGTACTTTGGGCTGGACTCCACTTGGTGAGGCCATTCATGTTCCCTCACCTGCCATTGTCAGTCCAGTCCAGCTGGATGTTCCTACAAGCACCTCTACAGCCCACGTTTATACTACAAAGGGATGAGGTAGATGCTCTCAGCTACTGAGACAAGAGTCCTTGGCATGTGGCATCCTTCCTTCCTCAGACCTCACTCAGAGTCCACGGAAGTAAGCAAGCTTCTCTGTGTGCCTCACAATACACGAGAGGGCTTCAGGGCCAAGTCTGTTGGGTCAGAGAAAGGGTTCTGACCAGGTTGCTCCCAGGCCCCAAAGTTTCAGTCAGGGAAGGCTGCCTAGAGGAGGCAGAGGGACAGGCCCCAGTTACCTTTCCTTTCTTCTTTCTGGGCCAGGACCTGGATTGTTGGTCAGGAGGTGGCAGCCTTTTCTCACCACTCATTCTGTGGATGTGGTTGTGGTCATGACTACCTATGACTTTTCCCAAGAAATCCTATGGAAATTATCTCTCCCAGCAGGCACAGAGGCATCCAGGAGATGCCACATTCTGGTCAGATCTTCATGTATTGGCCACATGGGCTTCCCTTCTCTGAGCCAGCTGAAAGCCTAGCATGATAGATTCCTCACTCCCAGCCTGGGGACTAGTTTCTCTAGTTTCAAACTATAGCCATTCCTCAGGCTGTAGAGTCCTTTGGGTCTAAAGCTGGGGGTGAGTGCTTATCCCTCAAAAGGTGTCTTAGGAAAGGAATTTTATGAAGTTATCTTAGGATCCTAGCCCCTTCTAGCTTGGAAGGGGCAGGGTGGTGGGTTTAGGAGGAAACCTGCCTCCTTGACACTCAGGTACCACCTCTGCTCATCTGGCTAGATGACAGAAGTGCTTAGCCAGCAGCTGGAGGTTGGATGAAGGCCTGGAGTCCAGCTGCAGGCACTGGCAGAGCTGGAACCTGGAGTACACCCTTTTTCCAGAGACACATTCCTACTGGAGGTCATAGCAAATGAGGAGCTGTCCTGTATCTGGAGCCACTGGCAGGGAGGCATGTAGAGCACACACAGTCCTGGCCTTGTTTTACCCACCTGGGG